TTTTATTAAGGAAGAAATTTTACAGGTAATAGGAAATTAGACCTATTTTTAATCTATTTATGGTATGAGCGTCACAGAATGTATTTAAGAGTGTATCGACGACAAAACTGCCATCGATACGCATACTAAGAAGATGTCTTGAAAAGAAATGAAAAGATAAATATACTAAAGCAAATGTAGAATTAAGAGGCAAAAAAATGTATCCAAGTGACATAAGTGACAAAGAATGGGAAATACTAGAGCCATACGTTGCACAAGGAGCAATAGGAAGGCCAAGAAAACACGATATTAGAGCATGCAATAAGATATATAATGAAAGGAGGTTGTCAGTGGAGAATGCTGCCAAAAGATTTTCCGCCATGGAAAACAGTATACGACCACTATTTCAGGTGGCGCAATAATGGAAAATTACAACGAATACATGACTCTTTGGTAAAAAAGGTAAGAGAAATGGCCGGCAAAAGAGCAACANTTAGTAATGCATTCATTTCCTCTAATTTCATTTCTCTGCCTGCCCTAATTGAGTTGTGGCAAGATATTGTGGCTAGTATTTTATTTATTTTATCTTCTATTGGTAAAGCATCTTCCATTTCTATCAACCTGTCAGCTACATCAGTTATAACCTCTTTTATATCTATACCATTCAAAATTGCTGGAATTTCTTTGATTAATACCATAGAGTTTGAGATTATCTCAATGTCAAAGCCTATTTCAGAGAGTTTATCTTTATAATTTTCAATCATCTCCATTCCTGCCTGATTGGTAATTTCTACCATCTCGGGAATAAGTAATGACTGCCTCTTAATTGCTGATTTTTCCATGACTTCTTTCATATATTCATAAACTAATCTCTCATGAGCTGCATGTTGATCAACTATCACTAATTTGTTTTTATTTTCTGCAATTATATAAGTGTTGTAAACCTGACAACGTGCGTGTCCAAGAGGATGCTCTTCTATAAGTTCAATTTGTTTCTCTAGAGCTTCTAGTTGTATTGGTAATTTTTGCATAGAGTACCCTGGCTCCTCTAATACATTTTTTGTGCTCATATCTGGAGAGCCAAATTTTCTCATTAACGAATTTTCAAAGCTACTTGGTCTTTTTTCATAAAAATCTTTGTTATTTTCTTTATTTTTTCCTTCTTTTTTTAGTTCACAATTTTCTTTGAAATCTTGATGCTTCTCCTTAATCACTCTTTCATTAGATCTATTTTGAAAATCGATTTCCAACAGCGATTTTGTTGTCGGCACGCTTCTCAAATGCATCCTTTGATGCTCATCTGCATCTTCCCTTGCACTATCAATAAGTTCTGAAAGAAGTCCATTGTCTCTCTCTTCATTTTCATTTGTAGCTTCAGGTCTTATCCTCCTTGAAAGGGTTC